CTCTTATCATGTCATGTTATCCTGATACAAAGCTGTAAAATCCGGCGAAAATTTTAAGGCACGGCTGCAAAAGTATTGTCCGAGAATTCTTGGAAATGACGTCATTTCTTGGAACTGTCTTCGTGAACGACCTCCTATTATGTCATGTTATCCTGATACAAACTCGCGAAATTGGCCGAAAATTTTATGGCACGGCTGCAAAGGTATTGTCCGAGAATTCTTGGAAATGACGTCATTTCTTGGAATTGTCTCCGTGAACGACCTCCTTTCGTGTCATCTTATCCTGATACATATGCGCGAAATCGGCCGAAAATTTTACGGCGGGGTTGCAAAAGTGCAGTCCGAGAATTCTTGGAAATGACGTAATTTCTTGGAAATGTCTCTGCAAGCAACCTCCTTTCATGTCATCTTATCCTGATACAAAGTCGCGAAATAGGCCGAAAATTTTACGACGAGGCTGCAAAAGTATTGTCCACCGAGGCGGTAAAAGTATTGTCCGTCGAGGTGGTAAAAGTATTGTCCTCGGAATTCTTGGAAATGACGTTATTTCTTGGAAGTGCCTCAGTGATAGACCTCCTTATATGTTATGTTATCCTGATAAAAAATCGCAAAATTTGTCGAAAATTTCTCATCGAAGCTGTAAAAGTAGTATTCACAAAATACCTCTTTTCATGTTATGTTATCCTGATACAAAATCGCATAAACTGGCCGAGAATTTCTTGTAGAGAAGTGTCCGATTTTCGAAAAATTTCGAAATGCGGGTTTTTTTGCTTTTTTACGTTCTTTAACTTCTAAGCAACTCGTGTGCAAAAAATCAGAAAAATTGGATCACGGGAACTGTGTTTTTTAACAGTTCGATTGCGCCGATCTGCGAATCGAACTTGCAGACTTTGAAAATTCGTACAGAATTTATCCCTTGATTTTTTTAAATGTTTTATATATCAAAAAGCTCGTCGAGAAGAGCTTTAAAGAATAGGCTAAAAAATTTGGGTTTTTTAAAAGTATTATCCATGGAATTCTTGAAAATATCGTCATTTCTTAGGATCGGTCGACGAGCGACCTCCTAGCATGTTATGTTTGCCTAATACAAAATCGCAAAGTTGGCAGAGGGTTTCATGCTAAAGCTGCGACATTTGTAGGTACAGTATTGTTGGAATTTTGTCATTGTGCAACCTCCTTTAATGTTATGTTCGCCTGATACAAAATCACAAAATTGGCAGCAGGTTTCATATCAACGCTGCGGAATTTATAGGCTTAGTACTGTTGGAAAATGAAAGAAAAACCAATTTCTCACAGCATGGGAGCTCCTTTAATGCTATACTCGCTAAATATGAAATTACAAAATTTACAATATTGGCAGCGAATTTTATTTGCTATTATCTTTAATACAACGCTACAAAAATACAAAAAATGAACTCGATATGCCCCTAATGGAACCCGTTGTACAGCTCCTAATACCTTCCATGAGATAGATAGGGAAGATACCTTTAATATGATAGATAAAGTTCAAACGACATTCGATCAGCGCCATCTATGATTTATCAAAAAGGTCTACGATCTAGAATTTTTATATTAAAAGTATACTCGGTGGTTTATTGTTACACTTCGACTTATTTCCAATGTTGATTACGGATTCGTTTTCACCAAAGTGAACTGTACAAGAATCACCTAATGGATATTACAGATTAGGCTTAATAAGTTAAAATTTGTTGGAAAAATGTAATCCATTATGTTCGAGACTTCGACATTGTCAGATTATTCAATATATCAAATTATTTAGCCATAAATGTAACACGGTGAAACGAAATGAAATAATTTTCGTGAAAGCAACTATACGCTTTTGGTACCAAAAGTAATAAATCTAACAGTTATAGTATAAATATATAGCGAAAAAATTTGTTCGTTAACTATTTAAATTCGATATATTACTCGATACGTGCGATAATTATCGAACGACGTTCTTATGGCATGATCATAATCGTGGCCATACATGTCGAATTATCGAGCACACAGAATTATTGAACACCGGATTACTCGAATTCTACTGTATTAACAGTTTAATTGAAGCTTACGTTATCAATTATCATCCTATGCGAACAGATTACATCATGACGATTACTAAACATTCTCAAATACCGATTATTAAGCATGATCAGTTTTCTGCAATTAGTCGGAGAAATAAAAGTGATGGTAAAAGGTGGTGAAAATGGACAAACAGTTTGCAAAAATGATAATGGGATATAAATTTTGGATTGCATCGTTTCAAGTTCAGTAATGAAAATTTAATACATGCGAATGATCGTTGATTAAATATTAGACATTACAAATGTTGATCATGCGACCTTTTCGTTTAAATAATCAAAGCATTCGTGCAATAAATCAGAAATTTACAACCGGTTGAATACTTATAAGAATATACCCTTTTGTTAATTATTCTATTCTTTTTCCAACACGTAAATATCATTTTATTGAACCGAATCGATTTGTATCTTGTGTGTGCAAAATTTAACACAAGTCAGTTATCAATCGCTGTAAAATAATCTTTTATTAAATAATATTCAATTTAAACAACAATTATTTCCCTCTCATCGTGAGAGAAAATATGTACTCATTCGTATTGCATTAATACGCATAAAGCAGAAGAAAATGAACTTACTGAATTCGTTTGGAAAATCGCTGCATGAGTTCACACACGTGTCCTGAAAATAATCAGATTTCGTTATTACTAAAACTGTCTTCCGGTTGAAGGGTAAAAATCTACGAATAATGTTCCCTAGGAAGAGAAACGACTTGACATAACCTTCGTCGAAGTAAAATGGCGAGTTACATGCTTCGTTTATAAATACTTCAATGATATTGCAATTGCGACGATTGATTATCGAAATAAAAACGAACCTTGTTCGTTTTAAAAATAATTAACATTATAATAATTCTAATAATTAATATTATAATAATCAATATTATAATAAACATAGTATACCGCGTTGTCCGAGTATTTCCGTCTCTCGCTGCGTAATCGAGTGTCATCTGTGTAAGGTTAGAACGAAATAAAACGCTTCAAGGACGGATTTTACCTCGATGGAAGGAAAGGAAGGAAGGCGAAGCTTGTCCTGCATCAAATGCTATCTCCTAGTACATTGTTATCGATTCACGGTGATTTCATAAGCAGATATATTTGATACATTTATATATGTTAAGTGTATACGAGTGCGAGAAAATCTGATCATTCATGCGATACTGCGTCTGGAATCGTTCGCTGTTGGAATTTACAATACGTTCTAAATACAATTTTGACCTTCTCCCTCCTATTTTCTTCCTCCTGTTAGTCCTTCTTTAAGGAGAACAGAAGGTCGAGATACAGGGAATTACGTTGCCACGGGTCGAAAAGATCGATATAGAATGACCGATGGTAAGTTAATAATAAAGATAGGACTCGAGAAGGTTGCCCGTGCATTGATCATCTGGTAACGAAGATGATGAAAGATTAAAAACTTTCGAAAATTTCCGAAACTGTTCATAGTACATTCTAAATATCCATATATATAATATAAATATAATAAAAATATAATAAAAAATAATAAAATATAAAGAAATTTAGATTGAAGTAATATTCGTAATTTTCCATGTTCAATCATTTTTTAACAATTTAAATCTCGAAAGAACTTTCATACTGTATGTGATATCGTGATTATTAATACTTCAGATGTTTAGTGTCGTATTATTTTGTCAACGTATTATTTAATAGAACACGATCATGTTAACATAATATATTTTACGTAAAAGTACATATAAAAGTATATATCGAGAAGAAAATAAATCGAAATCGGTCTTTACTTCTTCTGTATTATATAGATAATCAGCGAATACAATAACAGTAAAATAACAGGACGTAAATAACAGTAAACGTTTACTTACGTCGAAACAGTCCGATAAGCAATTGTATAGCAATGAAAAGTTTTGCATGGAGTATCCATGGACACAGACTGCACAAACGAGTAGTTGGTAAATCGTATACATCATGGCGATTTGATTAAATTTCCTCTGCACTTCTATCAACGGTAACTCTCGACTGATTTTCGACCTGGTCGATAATGAAGTCCGAAGAGAGAATCCTCGTGGAGATGTTACGATCGAAACCCCTCAAACGCACAGATTAATCATTACTCTTTGGGAGACATTCGATGAACCGCGCGCACTAGCCAGATCAGCTGTTCGATGATTCCACTGTACCTTCAAAGGAACTAGAATGCCTGCGAACATCGCGTGAGCATCGTCATATTTGAAATCGAGGAAACTTTTTGATGTGCAAACTAGATCCCCTACCACGTATCGTGTATACGGTGTGGTTTAAAAAGAGGTGGGGCTTCATTTTATCCGACTCCGCCTCGATTTCCTATCTATCTTTGCAAGGAAAATAGTGCATGCATATCGGATGAAAAACTACGTCGGTAGAGAGAGAAATTATTAAATTATTAAATATTATTAAATCGTGAAAGATTTAGAGATTTAAATATTTACTTAAATATCATTAGCTTATTTTTGTAATATAAACAATTTAAAAGAAAGTATCTTAGTAATACCATACTGTATTGTACAATGTGGAATTAATAACAAATATGTAGTATCACGGACCAGGTATACCATAGATTCGTTGTACGAATTTTCGCGGTTCAACTTTGACTGCTTTACCGACCTAGAAATATAAAAACCATGAATTTTAGTATATAGTAATAGACTGAATCTAGTCTCTGCATTTATCACGAAAGCTTCATTATCGACAGATAATATTGCTACACGTTGGAAATTAGTATTACCGCCATCTTTTGGGTATGACTCGAATTATATCCTAAAACCTATATATCAAATTATACAGGTACATACGAGATAAAAGATGTTAGCACGGGATTTACGTCTTTTAAAACATAAATTCAATTAATTTAAATGATACAGAAATTAGTAACAGAATAAATAATTACCATTCAAAGATTCAAGTGTTCAATATGAGCATAATTTGTGCTGTCAAAAATTGTAAATATTCTTCGGATAATGAAGGCTCAATAAATGTCAAATTCATAAATTTTCCAAACAGTGATACGTAAGTATTTTTCGAATTATGAATGAAATACTATTTGAAATTAATGTTTCATTTGTGTATAAAACATAATCGACTATTTCTAGTCTACTGGTTGAATATTTTTTTCAATTCATTGTGTAAAATAATATTCTCAAGTAGTTACGTTATAACTTGGATATTATTTTCTTACAGTTCAAAAATATGGGCACATCAGTGTGATAGGACAGATCTGTTAATGAAATCAAATGAAGAGCTACATTTAAATTATTATATATGTTCTCATCATATAGAAGATCGTTATTATATAAGCAAAATAGATCCTGTGATAATAGACCAACATGCTATTCCAACATTATTTGAACTTCGTGCTACTGAAAAAGATGCAAGAAATATCTTTGACAGAAATGAACAAACAGAAATAACTGATAATGTTGTACTATCATACTGCGATATGGATGTTCAAATAGACCAATATAACGATATTAGTATTAAATTTTCAAATTTATGTAGAATATGCGAGGAATCATGTCTGGATGGCATAGAAATATTTTCATTGAAAGGAATGGACCTAAAATTAAAAGAAAAAATAAGTTTACACCTACCAATCTCATTGGATATGGATGATTTAATGCCACAGAAATTGTGCATGAAGTGTTATAATAAGTTAGAAGTTGCACATTCGCTAGTTATAACTTCTTTGAAAACAGATATGAGATTAAAAAAGTTTTTAAACATTAATGCAGAAGTAAGTAACAGTTATGTAATATTCACCTAATATGTATTTTTTTAATATTAAAGTTAAATTTATATTATTTTACAGCTAAATTACGAGGAGAGGTATAATGAAATAGCAAAAAAGTGTTCCTTAGAAATAGCTCAAGAAATATGTATTAATGAAGCAACTGAAGTTACATCTACAGAATTATCTTCTAGTAAAATTGATGGAGTTTCTACAACTGAAGAAGACACTGGAAAGTTTAGTCACTTAGAAAATATTAATGCGCAAAAAGACAACTTTGTAAATAATATAAGGAAAGTGCAATCTGTGTTAAATGTTAAACCGCACAATGAAAAAAATAAAACTAATGAATGTACAATTAAAATAATAAAAAATTACCCAAATAATGAAACATTGAACAGTGAAATTCAGTGCATTCATTGTAAAAATATATTTAAGTCACAGGAAATATTTGAAAATCACAAAATGTTGTGTGATGAAGGAGAAACAGTAATACAAAAGGAAAAAGAAACTAATAATAATTTAAATGATAAAGAATCCAATAGTGAAAAAGTAATGAACTTTCAATTGATAGCAAAAACATGTAATATTTGTCATGAACACTTTGAAAGTGAAAAACACTTTGATGAGCATAAACGTTCATATTGTAAGTTCCTCCAAGAAGAACATTATCAGGTTCCTAGTAAAATAAGTACAAGCAAAAAACAAACCAATAGCTTCACTGACTTTTGCAATATAAACAATATTCTACCAATGGATAATAATAAGAAATGTGGTCATTGTGATTTAATTTATAATACTAAAAAAGAATTATTAAGTCATGTTGTGGAATGTCACAATAGTCAACTTTTATTTAAATGTATCATATGTGATAGAGCCTTTGAAAAATGGTCTAGCTTAGACATACATGAGGCTACTCATAGAATAGACAAACCTTATTTATGTGATTTATGTGGAAAAAGTTTTAAACATTCTAACAATTTAAGAGGTCATAAAAGGACTCATTTAGATGATTCAAAAAAGAAACGACACGTTTGTGATATTTGTGGAAATGCGTTCCGATCTAGGTAACATTGTGTGACATCTAAATACTGCATTCGTTTATTTGATTCCACTCAATAAATGTCTAATGTATAATTTAGATTTCATTTGGGGGAACATATGAATCAACACAATGGAAATAAACCTTATTCTTGTGAAAAGTGTGGGAAAGCTTTTTACAAGAGAATACAATTAAGACAGCATAAATTGTCTCATGGCTTGAATAAACATATTTGTCCAATATGTGGAGCAGCTTTCAATCGTAAGGGAAATATGAATACACATCTTAAACGTCATAACAATGGAGATAATTCATACACGTGTAGTGTAAGTATTATACGAAAAATAATCTTTTGGTACTTAAAATTATTATACAAACATTTGCATTTTAGGTATGCACGCACAGGTGTAAGTCAATGAGTGAGCTAAAATCACATAGGAAAAAACACACAGAACAAGACATTATAGACAATATAAAAAAGAAGCGTATCGATAAAACTATATGGCAATGTAAAACCTGTAATCGAGTATTTTCGACGCGAGCAGTATTACTAAACCACGAACATATACATAAAGAAGAAAGAATAAGTGTTGATTGCAACATTTGTGGGAAAAAATTAGCTAGCAAAAATTCTTTGATATATCATAAAAAATCTATTCATTCTACAAACAAGCCATACATGTGTCAATACTGTGGAGAATCGTTTGTTACCAAAGATGTACGTGTTATACACGAAAGAATACACACAGGAGAACGTCCTTATGTTTGTAAAATATGTAAAATGGAATACAAATGTTCAAGCAATCTTAATCAGCATATGAAAATTCATTCGGGAATCAAACCTTACAAATGCTCGTATTGTAATAAGAGTTTCACACGAAGAGGAACGCTAAACGTGCATGAGAGGATTCACACTGGAGAGAAACCGTTTGCGTGTGATACGTGTGGTAGAAGTTTTTCACAAAAGAATGACATGCTTAAGCACACTAAAACGCATAATACCAAATCATTGTGCTGTGAACAATGCGACGAAGTTTTCGCAAACAAGAAAGATATCCTAAAGCACATTGCTTTGCACGAGGAAAATAATACTATAATTCAGGGGTATGTAGAAGTACAGCAAGAAATAGCACCATATGTGACTATACCATGCTCTGAATTTGAATAATTTTTGCTATGGACAAAATGAAATAAATGTAAAATACTATTAATATGTTTATAGTACAACTGTACATAAAATGTATACATAATAATGTATTTCTTTGTACGACTAACTTATTAATAAAAAGATTCTATTTTTGTAATTATTCCATAAAATGTAAATGCAAATTTCTTTGCAGATTATTTTATATAGATTTTATTTCATTAAAGATATTTTCCCTAATCGCGGATTGAACTTTATTATTAATAAAGTCAACTTATTAATTTTACATCGCAACTGTTCTGTTTTAATCAATATTAATAGGCCACTGTATACTTGTTAACGAGAAATTATAATGCAATGTCGTATTTCCTAAATTCCGGTTAGGTTATAAATGCGGATAAATTCAAAGAAATTCAAAGTGAGTCGAATACAGCCAATTCGAAAGAGTCTAAGAAGTCTAGAAGTTTAAAAGCACTTACGGTAGGTTTACGAAAAATGCAGAATGAACCATCAAAAACATGAATACTGCGGCAAAGGGGAAGCGTGAAAATTTGATGGTAACACGTTACACCATTTACGGTTTATTTGTACTTTTACCATTGTACCCTTTCTATACTATCTGCGTAATAAACATAACATCTTCTCGTCTCGGTTATTACGATAACGAATATTTATCGACACTCCTGATAATTCATAGAAATTTATTCAAATTTAATTCTATCCCTGTATAGAAATTTAATAACGATACGACTTAACCATTTGACCCCATACACCGATTGATTTTATTACCTCCTTTCTGTAAAGCAATGCCTAATTCATTTATTCATTTCGCAAGCATTCCACAATGATTGATTTCCAAAGCGTGAAAATGCTAAACGAGGATGGCAGGTAAAGGATTGCAAAATATCACAACACCATTATTATATATAGAATAATACTCTTTATTGTTTTTGATAGTTTTTGTTGTTGTTGTCCATATCGTGCGTTATCCTTTTACTTTTCTTCCGGTTAATCGATTTTGCGCTGCATTTGTTGTTTTGCATTCTTTCTGTTGCTGCTGATTCTTTGCTGCTTGATATTTTGGTAAAACGGTATGCGATACAACGACACAACTTTTCGAAACAAAATACGAGAAACGAACGAAGAAAAAGGAATCACAACGTGCCCAACCACTCGAGAACCGTGCATCTTTCGTACCGTGCATACGTGGACCACTTAGGACTAGAGTAATTGCGATTCTTGCTTCCTCTCTTTCATGATTATTTTTTCCTTTGTTTTCATACTAATTGGCAAGCACGCGTGCAAAATGACGAATCGCGAAGGCGCGTTAAAATTAAACTCGTGTTTCCGTTTCTCATTTGCGCTCCATTTTTACATTTACTGCGAGAAATGCACGGCTATTGCCGCGCTTCTCCTATTTATTTTCCCTCCACACTACGATACGTCTTTCCCCCCCCCCTTTGTTTACGTTTATCCACGATTAGCGCATTTTCCCCGGTTTTTCCTCGTTTTCTCTTTTTTCCCCTTTTTTCTTCTTTTAGACGCAGTCCTGCGACACGGTACGAAGTACAGTCGAGTGATCGGTACACGTTCCGTAGATACAACTGTGCATCTTCGAATTTGTCCTAGCTCTATTAAAATGGCCGCACACACGACTCGTATGGCGAACGTACGCCACTGGGACGCATCGACTTCGGCGACTAACGGCGCTAGTGAATTTCGGCCGAGCTCTCACGAACTCTCACGACCTCTCACGATCTTCGACGAACGAATTTTCAGATGACAAATCGCTTCCAACTCGCATAGAACGATCTTCGCGTTATAACCTTAAACTTCTATCTACATTGTACTCGCCATAGAAATCGGTTACGTCCCTTTGGGAACGTGCATTCGCTTCACGCGCCTGGCGCGATATTTCGATGCAATTTCATCTTTTCTTCAATCGTTTTTTCCCTCTCTCCCCGCTTTCGCCTCGACCTTTTTTTCTTTCTCTTTTTAATTAATTAACTCTGTCTTTCTGTAACCGTCTCCTCCGCGCTACTATTTACAATGTACAGTGTCGTATGTTCTTCCTTCCTCCTGTCCTAGAGTTCGCGGTCACGACGGGACTCTCGTAAGTTCTCGGAGATCAGTTCCAATCTAACTAAACACTCTCTCTCATCGCCCTTCCTCGTTTCGTTTTCGCTTCTTTTTCTCCTTCTTTCTTTCTCTTTCACGGCAACTATTCTCGCACCGTGGCCGACATCGTACGGTCTCGTTCCTTCATAATTCCTATGGAAGGAAGGGGACCGTCCTTGCGTCCGTTAAGGCGTTTAGAAACGATCGACGTTAATGCTTTGAACGGTATCAACTGTAGCGTCGCGCTAATGATAATGATAATGATAACGATAATGATAATGGTAGTGGTGGTAGTAACAGTAGTAGTGATGGTGGTGGTAGTGGTGGTGGCGGTAGTAATCGTAGAAAAAAGAGAGAGAAGAAAAAAAAGAAAAAGGAAGAAGAGAACAAAAATGGAGGATTTGAGGACGTTGCGTTCGCGGGTTGGCCCACGCGAGAGATGAACTGTCGCTGCAATATTTTCCATCGGCCAGAGGGGGGTAGAAGAGATTGCTCTAACTAATTCTCGGTTAGATATCCGTGGTAATAGGAACTTAATCGTACATCTTCGCGGCAGCCCGATTCGATTAACTCTCCATAGGACAATAAAATTTACATATATTAATATTTAATAATATAACAAAAACGTACGTATTTCTCTTCTTCCTTCATGCTAACAACGAACGAACGCACGGAAAGCTTGATAAACATTCCAACCAACCGTGTACATAAATAATTCGTTAAAGAGTACGATCAAACTTCTGTCCCGTAAGGAGTTAAGGAACGCAACTCTATACCGGGGCTATCGCCTCCATCTTGTTGTTCGCTGTATGCACATATACGCGTGTACGCGTGTACGCATATATATAATATACATACATATATGTACATATATAGATATATACGTACGCGCATATCCATGTTACACGTGCAACTGATCACCGTAACACGAGAAGGATGGAAAATTTAAAAAAAGAATTTGTGTTCGTGTCTATAGTGATCGATATGATTATCTACATCGACGCATATACATACATAAAAACGTGCTGGAAGAGCG